TCTTTGACTTTTATATGTATTTTTCAGGACCCGTTTACATTACCAACAATCATATTACCAACAATCATTTTACCGACACTTATATTATTGACAATTATTTTACCGACAGGTACATTTTACTGACACTCATTTTACTGACACTCATTTTACTATCAACACTTGCAGTATTTATTACTATTTTACTATCCACTTCAGTATAAAAATTATAATACATATTTAATATAAAAGAATTTACCATAATATATAAATAAAAAATTGATTAATATATAACAAAATGTAAAATATTATGATATTTATATATAATAAAATAACTTGAATTTAATATTTAATTTTATCAATTTTATTTTTTAAAAAATTTATTTCAGCTTTATAATATATTATACTTAAAATTGGTCTTAAAAATTTTCTTAATTTAGTTTATATAATTTGCTTTTTTTGTAACTAATTGAATATAATAATGTACTGTTAGTGTTCTGAAAAAAATCCGATCTGATTCATATCTGCAGATCTGATTTGAAACGGATCGAATCAGATCAGCTTTTTTATGATCTGTGATCCGATCTGAATCAAAAAAATTTGATCCATTTCAGATTGAATCGGATCGGATCAGTTATTCATTCAAATCAGATCAGATCGAATCAGATTCGATCAGATCCAGATCAGATCCGAATCTTAGAAAATAAAAAACGTTTTGCGCAACGTTTTTTATTAAAACAATAAAAAACCGTTGCAAAATGGTTATTTTTAGTTAAATAAACCGTTTCGCAACGGTTTATACTAAAACAATTTAAAAAACTGTTGCGAAATGGTTTTTTTAGTTAAATAAACCATTTCACAACGATTTATATTAAAATCATTAAAAAAACTGTTGCGAAATGGTTTTTTTAATTAAATAAACCATTTCGCAACGGTTTATATTAAAATATTTTAAAAAACCATTGCGAAATGGTTCTTTTTAATTAAATAAACTGTTTCGCAACGGTTTATATTAAAACAATTAAAAGAATTATTGCAAAACAGTTCTTTTTAGTTAAATAAACCGTTTTGCAATGGTTTATATTAAAATCATTAAAAAAACTGTTGCGAAATGGTTTTTTTAGTTAAATAAACCATTTCGCAACGGTTTATATTAAAACAATTAAAAAAACTGTTGCAAAACGGTTCTTTTTAATTAAATAAACCATTTTGCAACGGTTTATATTGAAACAATTAAAAGAACTATTGCGAAACAGTTCTTTTTAGTTAAATAAACCGTTTCGCAACGGTTTATATTAAAACAATTAAAAAAACTGTTGCAAAACGGTTCTTTTTAATTAAATAAACCGTTTCACAACGGTTTATATTGAAACAATTAAAAGAACTATTGCGAAACAGTTCTTTTTAATTAAATAAACTGTTTCGCAACGGTTTATATTAAAATAATTAATAAACCGTTGCAAAATGGTTCTTTTTAGTTAAATAAACCATTTCGCAACAGTTTATACTAAAAAACCATTGCGAAATGGTTCTTTTTAGTTAAATAAATCATTTTGCAACAGTTTATATTAAAATGATTTAAAAAACCATTGCGAAACAGTTTTTTTTAGGTAAATAAACTGTTTTGCAACGGTTTATATTAAAATATTTTAAAAAACCGTTTTGCAACGGTTTTTTTTTCATTTAAATTGAAATAAAAAACGTTTCGCAACATTTTTTATTAAATAAATCTTTAAAAAAATGTTGCGAAACGTTTTTTTAACTTCTGATTCAAATCGGATTCGGACCGGATCGGTTTTATCCGAATTGGATTCAGACTGAATCGAATTAAGCTCATTTCAGATTCGGATCAGATCAGATCCAATTATTTTTGATCCGAATTTGGATCAGATCAAATCAAACTTTTTTTGATCCGAATTCGGATCAGATCGGATTCATCTCAAATCTGATCTGATTCAATCCGTTCGGAATACTATGTACTGTATATTATTTCAATTAATATTACTTAAAATTATATTATTATTTTGTCAGTAAAATGATTGTTGGTAATATGATTGTCAATAAAACGTACCTGTCGGTAAAGTGAGTGTGGTAAAATGATTGTCGGTAATATGATTGTTGGTAATATGAATTAGACTTGTATTTTTGATACTATATTAGGAAAATTTTTTTTTATTATAATAAATTTCTTGATTATCTTATTGATCTATTTTGTTCGAAAGTTCGAATTCTCAAATCCTGACAGCCAATCATTTATTAGAAAAAAAAAATTTTTCAAATTCATTTTTGAAATCAGGTCCTGTTTAAGAGATAATTATATTTCAATAGAAAATGTTAAATTGCTTCTTCCTCAAATAAAGTATGTTATCATTCTAGTTTAAATAGATTCTAATTCTTATCATAATTCTATTGATGTATTGTAATTCATATTGCCAACTTGTATTCTCTTTGTATTAAATTTTTCTTAGTTCAGATGTGATTTATAATTTGTTTGGCCAAATTTTCTGAATAAAAATTTGAATTATTTGAATACATCATTCACTCTTTTATTGTTAAACTTGTTATTAGTTGTAATGGTCAAATTTAATATAATAAATCAACAAATTTTGACATATTGAAGATACTGTAACTTATCTACTGATAATTTTATTTAGAATTCTTGATCTGTAATTGTTTATAGATCTTTCTATTTCTTCCTTTTCCTTGTTCTAAATGTAATTTTCTGTATTCTTCAAACCACATATACCTGAATGTTTATGTTTAATATGATAAATGAGGTTTATCATTTGAAGACTCTTTTGATTCTCTTATAACTGATGCAATATCAATTGGATGATTTATTATTGAAAGATTACTTGCTAAAAGTTCTTCTACATCATATTTTACTATTCTCTTACAACTTGGTGGACAATAAAGAAATGGTTTTTTTTATGAAAGAACATCTTTACAGAAACCTGATGTTTTGCGACCTAGCAGTCATGAATTCGTTACCTAATATTTTCGAATTTGTATCTATCTTTTAATGACATTTTTTGCTAAGTTTTTTATAATATTTCAATAAAGTTTTGATGAAAACCAGTCTTAAAATAGTGGTAAGATCAAATAATAATCTTTAAAAGGTAGTAAATAAAATCAGACATTAGCCAAAATAAATTAATCAAGATATTTGTGTGATGTATCTGCAAGTATACAATAATTGATAAATCATTTCTTAAAATGTTAAAATTTTTATTTTATTTTATTTTTATTTTGTATTTATAATTTTTTATTTATTTTATTTTATTTTATTTTTTTTTTTGAGGTGGTTTACAAAATTCTGACAATAAAGTTAATGAAATTTGGGAAGTTGTACCATGTTAAAATACTTTAAATTTTCTAAATGTATTTGGTCTTGTAGGATATTATACAATACATACAATACATTAATTGTAACTAATATTAATTTATTAACATATATAATTGTAAAATTTAACTGTAAAATATAATATAAATTTATTTATAAAATACAGTACATTGCAAATATATTATTTAATATTCCAATATTCCTTTTATTATAATTGGATAGCCGCAGATTTTTAAACGATCAATGTATTAAAATTTCCGTTGATATAGCGTCCCTGGTGACATAACTATAACAAGGTGGAAACTTAATTTGGTCAATGGTATCACCTGATTGNGTGATTTATTAATGCGTATAAGAAGAATATGTAAAAATTTAATTAATGCTTCAAGTGCAATATCGGAAAGTCGATATCTTTGCTGAAATTTAAATACCCATAGAATAATCTCGGTATTTATGGAATCATCCAAATTTCCTAATTCAAAAACTTTTTCATCGCTATCAATTATAGGAGATGCAAACAAACCTTCTCCCTTCTGATCTATATCATAAATATGATGTTCCTCATCATCATCACCACCACTATTGTTTTTAGGGGAACTTTCTTCCTCTTGATCTATGTTATTAATATCATCATCATACTCCATTTCCCAAATATTATCATCATACTCATTATTATTTTCATTGTTAGGTTCTGGATCATGAAAATATGAGGATTTAGACCTGTCTCTTATACACATCTATAAACAAAAATTTTTTTTTGATGAAATTTCATTTTTTTTTTTCAATGTTTTATTAATTATCTGTCAATAGTATCTTTTTAATTTTTATTAAACTCAGTGTATTATTTTTAATATAAAATTACATGTTTATTTTGTTAAATAAAATTACTATCATAAATATGTTTTACTTTAAAATATAATTTCACTACTCACCACTTTGGTTATATCAAATTATCTTTTATGCTTAACTGCTTAAGTAAGTTTGTTCAGCAAGTTAAATCTACTTGTATTTTAATTTTCATATGATATTTATTTAGAAAAGCATATTTTTTTTAACGGTAATAACTTTTAAATTTTTTACTTTTTCATTTATAACTTTAGAGCGTAATTACACCACTTCAATCAAATGAAATCGACTTTCTAAATTAATTAAAAGTTGTTCAGCAAGGTCGAAACTACTTATATATTAATTTTCATGAGTGTAGGTATAATACTTATGGAGAAAAGTGCATTTTTCATAACGGTACTAATCCGAATTTTTTATTTCTCCGTTTACAACTTCAGAGCGTAATTACACCTCTTTGGTCAAATGAAATCGACTTTCTAAATTAATTGAAAATTGTTCAGTAAGGTCGAAACTACCTACATATTAATTTTTATAGGTGTAAGTATAATACTTATGAAGAAATTTACATTTTTGTAATAGTATTAATTTCGAATTTTTCTTTTACTGTTTATTAACTTT